AGATTTTAACAATATTTGTTCATCCAATCCACGAGCGTGGAATGTCTTTCCATTTCTTTGTGTCATCTTCAATTTTATGGAAATATTCTTAAGCTAATGATTTATCTTTATGATTACAAGTGAGTTCATGTTTTCCTTCTTTCGTCATTTGTGGAAAATAATATTTTTCTAGTACTTTTTTCTATTTATCTAAGCAGATTTAATGTCATAAAGTTTTCCATGGTATTATGTTAGAATTTAAAAAGCTTGTTTATTAGTAGTCTATTGCTGTGTAACAAATTACCACAAATTCAGGGACTCAAAGTAACACAAACTTACTATCTTACAATTTCCTTGGGTCAGGAGTCTGGATATGGTTAGCTGGGTATTCTGCTCAGGATCTCACCAGGCTGAAATCAAAGTGTCAACCAGGCTGTGATTTTCATCTGAGGCTCAGGGTCATCTCCCAAGCTCAAAGGTTGTTGGCAAAATCTGTTCTTTGCTGTTGTACCACTGAGGTACCTATGTCCTTGCTGGGTGTCAGTCAGACATTGCTGTCAGCTCCTGGAGGCTGCCTGTACTTCCTTGCCACATGGCCGCCACAGGCAATTCACAATGTGGATGTATGCTCTCTTCCAGGCCAGGTGGAGCATTGTCTTTCTTTGACTTCCAGCTCCTCTCTAGTCCACTACAATGAAGTTTTAAATAAGATAAATTTTATATTTTGACTTTCATTGTTGAGAAGATAGCTGTCAATCTAATTGTGCTTCTTTTGAAGGGAATCTGTCCTTTTCTTCAGGCAGCTGTTAAGTTTTTCTCTTTGTCCCTCTTTTTCAGACATTCTAATGGTATGCCCATGTGTGTATTTCTTTTTGTAAGTAACATAGTTGGGGTATATTTAGGGCCTCTTTAATCTGTGCACTGATGTCTTCTTCAGTTTTGGAAAAATCTGGGCTATTTTCTCTTCAGATATTGTATTTGCTCTACCCATTCTTTCTTTCATCTTCTTCATGACATCTCTCCCACTTTACTAATCCTCTTATCAGTTCTTTCTAGATCTGCTTAAATGTAGATTGACTGTTCCTGGGTCTTAGCTCCCAAATTCTTCACTGCTTCTTTAGTGTTTTAGTGCCTTCAAGTGGATGGTTTAAAATATTTTGTCCAGCTTTTGTTGTTTTGAGTGACATAGTTGATCCAAATTACATGGTCCATCAATATCAGAAACAGAAGGCCTCTTATAATTCATTCTGTAACATCTGTAGTTATGGGCCCCTTTCATTCTTAGTATTGTTTAAGTCTGTTTATTTTTGATCATTCATGCCACAGACCTGTGAAATTATTAATTTCTTCTAATTCTATCAATTTCATCAATCTTTGGATTTGTTTGAATCAATTATATACATTTTTATTCCTTCTATGTTCCTTGCATAATCTGTGATTCAGTTGGTAGCTTAATTTATTACTTTTTAACATGTCCTTTTTTCCTAATAAAAGAAAGTATTGCTCTAGGTACATCCCACAAAATGGTAAGTAGTTTCATTACTAATTTGGGGTTTGTAAACTTTTCTAATTATTATCATAATCAATTCTTGTGTTGAAAGCCTGACATGAGGTAATCAGGTAGTAGGAACCGAGGTAAACAGGCTTTCAGTGGGGGGTTTTGTGTTAGGCTGTGTTTAATGTTTGCTGTAGCTGTGGTGTCAGAGGCTAAAATTTCCTCACATGTCCTTGCTTTTGTCTCCTTTGCTGTCTTTTTTTGTTTCCCTATAGACTCCTTCTTAAATAGGGTCTGAGTGTTGCAGCTCTTTCAGCTGTGATCCTTGAAAATCTACAACCTTATTGAAGTGGTAGTAAGGTACAGGGGAGTGGAAACATTCCATAGTCCTATGATTAGGTCTTGGTCTTCTAATGAGCCTGTGTCCCTGGGCTGTAACAACCTTCACAGGTCCCTCTCAGCTTTTTTTTTTGTTTTTTGGCTTTTGTTTGTTTTGTTTTTGTTGTTTTTTCATGGATCCTTCTCCAGATTCATTAGATTCTCATCAAATAGTTTTCCTTGAGGGCAGACAGTGTTCTCTGGGCTTATTTCAAAATGCTAACTTGTCCCTTCCCCCTGCTGAAGCACAAGGGGATTTTTTTCTCATCTTCATCATGAGAATGTGGTGGGGCTGCTGGAAGTAAAACTCATGAAACTATGAGGGCTCCTCTGAGGTCAGGCCCTGAGGAGATTTTATCTCTGAAGTTAGCCCATTCTCAGTCTCCAATAACTAGTCAATTTCCCTTTAAGTATTCTGACCAGGCTCCAGTTGCAGCCTTCACTCCCAGAAAGCTGTGATTTTCTGTCTTCACTTGTCTCCCAGTTTTTTTTTGGGGGGGGTGGTGGTTTCCCCTGTGACTTCAATTCTCCGATAGATCTAAGAAGTGTTGTTGATTTTCCATTTGTTTACCCTAATTTATTGGTGAGGGTGGGAGTGCGAGCCCTTTACTTCCAAGCTCTTTACTCTTCCCATGTTGGACTAGTCTTATATTCATTCCTTGGTAAATACGTTGATTACAATTATGTTTCTTAATTTCCAACCATGTGGGTTTCTTCTAGTAATCGTTTTGATACTGCTTTCTAACTTAACTGCATTACGGTCAGAGAACTTGGTCTATGTGACTTCATATCTTTGAAATGTTTTGAGATTTGCTTTATGGACTAGTATATGGTTTATTTTGATAAATTTTCCATTTGTATTTGGTAATATGTACCTGGTACCTGTTACTAGGTCAGTCAGTGTGCTGGGAGGAAATGGTTGGCATACTTAAATGGGACTAATGAGGGTGCTTACCAGGATATGGAAGGATTAAGGGGAATCAAAAAGGGATGGTGAATCATCCTGGGCTCTCAAGAGCAGGGAGCAGGTACCACCTTATGGGGACAGGAAAGGGAACTGTAGAAGGCCACCTGATGGTAACTCTGGGACATCAGGGAAGGAGCAGGAGAATAAACATCCTCTCCTTCTTCTCCTGCCTTCCTCTATCCTACTAAGTAACTCTTACTAGTTGAACCCGACCAGTATGTAGAGGCAACAAAACCCATTGAGGAAACCAACAAAGGTCTGTCTACCAGGACAGAGACCAGAGGGAAAAGGTGTGTATTTCATTCTAGAAGGGCAAAAGAAAGTATCTAGCACACATAGAAGGTAGAGTGGACTTTCCTACGAATGGAACATATGGGTTGTTTGTAAGTAACATATTTGGGGTATATTTAGGGCCTCTTTAATCTGTGCACTGATGAAATATAAGCATTGGTGAAAGAAGGAGATTGATAAAGTGAATGAGAAAAATACTGACATTGTAGGAAGTATTCCCTTAAGTATTCCCACATGGTTTTCATGGGTTGCACTGAATGGCATGTGCAGGAGTCCTACTGCACATGAGCAAAGGTGATGGATGTTAGGATTTAGTTGGGCAGGAATGTGAGATTTATGGGAACAAGGGAAAGATGACTGTTGGGTGGGTGAAGTTTGGGTTGAAGTAACAGAGGAAAAGGGCAGAACTTATGTAGGTGTCCATGCTTGTGGCAGGCAGGAGTGCATGATTGGATAGGAAAAGTCTTATAACTTGGGAAAACTGGAGGAGTAGAAGTAGGCTCAGATAGAGACAAACACAGAAGTTTTAGAGCAGGTTTTATCACAAGTACTCACATAGATAGTTGCCATGGCAGTGCAGGAGAAAGCTTGCTCACAGTAAACCAGAAATGAGATAGAATTCTGAATTCTAAACTCTTGGTTTCCTCCTGCCTCTTCTTTTCCCATATCAATACCTCTTATCATCTTCCCCATTCTGCTCTTTTAATACTTCATCTCCTGACCAGGGTTACTCAAGCTCAGCACTAATGATTCTTGGGCTGCATAATTCTTTATTGTGGGTGCTGTTCTGTGTATTGTAAGATATTCAGCAGCATCTCTGACCTCTACCTACTAGGTGCCAGTAGCACACACCCTCCCTCGGTTGTGACAACTAGAAAATGTCTTCAGATATTGCCAAATACCTCCTGGGGGAGAGAATCATCCCTGCTGAAAATCCCTGCCTAGATATTAGGTAACTGACTATGGGTAGGGTAGAAAGAAGAGATGTGAGCAGTGTCTCAGGAAATGTAGTGTACTGTAAATAAAAGAAGACATAGGAAGGAATCTTTTGAAGAAAAGGGAAACATTTAAATTGCACAACAAGCATCCAGGCCAGTGACAAAATCTTCCAATGGAAGCAGACAAATGCACAAATAAGTTAAAGTGCTCTTTTTATATTCTTATAAAATGCAGATGTCACTGGAAGCTTCCCTGACCCTAGGAGATTTTGTTCTATAGCTACCACTCCCAGTTCACAGTCTGGGGAACTGGGTGCTGTCCTCAGACTTCCTGCTCTTGCTTCTGCCCTCTCACCTCCCCACTAATAATTCACATGTATTTGGCATATACCTCCTCCTGTTGCTTCCTTTGAGGAGCAATACAATCCCATTCAGCAGTTCTTATTTTTTCTGGGAACTTCTTGGATAATTTTGATGCCACCATATAGGGATAATATCATATACCTCTTAGCATATTTCTCCCACCTACTGCTTTTTCTCTAACTTCTATAGATTCCCTTGTTTCCCTCATGGCTTTCAGTATGCTCTTTTTTCATAGATGAGGCTCCTGCTATTTGCCTTTGCCCAGGAAAGAAATACTCCAAAGAATGGACTGGTCATCCTATTACTTCCTTCTCTTTAGGCGCCTACTACCTTTCCCCCAGTTTTGGAATAAACTTTTCCATTTCATTACACTTGCCACTCCAATCATGAACATGTATCAGTAAGAGGAATTTGGAAGGATCAATGTAGTTGATTGGTTAAAATCAGACAGATGAGCATTAAACATCTTCCAGGTCTGATGCTAGTAGGAAGAAAACTATGGATGCGTTTTCCTGGAGTTTCTCAGCATTGGAGAGTTATGCAATTGTCAGGGCTTGGGGAGGGAGCTTCTCTTCCAGGAGGCTTCTCACTAGACAGACTCAGACTGGGCCAGGCTGGTCCTCCCAAGGGCCCTCACCATGGCCCCCTTCATTTCCTTGTTTCGAAAACTATAGATGATGGGGTTGCACATGGGGGTGATGATGGTGTAGAGGAGGGAGAAAGGCTTGTCTTTTTCAGGGCCATGTGTGCTGTGAGGGTTCATATAAGAGAATATGGCTGAGGTGTACAAAAAGATGACCACAGTCAGATGGGAAGCACAAGTGGAGAAGGTCTTTCCACGACCTGAGGAGGAGGCTCTGCCAAGGATGGAGGCCAGGATGCGTGCATAGGAGATGACAATGAGCACCATGGGGCTGAGCAGCACCACGATGGCATCGGCAAAGATCACCCTCAGACTAAACTGGGGGTCTCCACAAGAGAGAGCGATCACTATGGGGGCCTCACAGAAAAAGTTTTCTATGTGGTTGTGTCTACAGAATGGACCACGAAATGTCATGTAATCAAGAAGGATGCCATTGATCAGCCCAAAGAACCAGGCAGTACTTACCAGCTTCACACAAACCTGCCGGCTCATGATCTGGGCATAGCTGAGTGGGTGGCAGATAGCAACATAACGGTCATAGGCCATAAAAGCCAAGAGGATGCACTCGGCCACACCTACACCAAAAACCAGATACATTTGGGTTAAGCATGAGGCAAAGGAGACAATGTGGTTCTTGGCCACCAGGTGGATCAGCATCTGTGGGATGGTGGTGGTGATGAAGCAGACATCCAGGAAGGACAGGTGGCCAAGGAAGTACATGGGGCTGTTGAGCCTGGGGTCTGTCCAGGTGATGAAGATGATGAGGCCATTCATGGCCATGGCAAAGCTGTAGAGGGCTAAGAAGAGGGCAAAGAGCAATGCCCGAGTGAAAGAGGAGCTCTGCTCAAAGCCCACGAGGATAAACTCTGCCACTCTGCTCCCGTTCCTTAGGTCCACCATCTGCAGCCTGCTTGAAGAGGGAAGACAGGAAAAGCACATAAGAGATAGTTGCATATAGACGCTACCTAGTTGTATAAAAACAGATTGCAGACAAAGGAATGAAAAAGAAAGGAATTTTAGTACACTCCATATGAGTCAGGAGAGTCATGGGCACTGAAAATGCTAGTGCTGAAAGGTCTGGGAACCATGTGACAACGTTTTGAAGAAAACTTTAAAGAAGACTCAAGGAGAATCCAAGAGGCCCATTTAAATATTAAGAAAGCACTTGTGATGAGCACTGCGTTTTATGTGTGTTGATCATTAAATTCCACTTCTGATACCAATATTACCCTATATGTTAACTAACTAGAATTTAAATGCAAAACTTGAAAGAAAAATAAATAAAAAAAAATTTATAAATAAATCTCAATGGGTTCTGCATCTAGAAGAGTGAATTTTCTTTTTCTGTGTAATTTCAATGAGTAGAACTCAAACTAGAGAGTAGAAATGTCAGAGGAAAAAAATGACTGATATTTCTAATTGTACATTTTTCTTCTCTTTACTATAAAAGTAATGCCTGTTCATTATAGAACATCTAGAAAATACCAAAAAACAAAAGCAAAATTAAGTAAATTAAAAGAATCATCAAGACAGTACAGTACTGGCACAAAAAACAGACATATAGATCAATGGAACAGAACAGAAAACCCAGAAATGGACCCTCAACTCTACGGTCAACTAATCTTCAACGAAACAGAAAGAACATCCAATGGAAGAAAGACAGTCTCTTTAACAAATGGTGTTGGGAAAATTGGACAGCCACATGCAAAAGAATGTAGCTGGAGCATCCCCTTACACCATACACAAAAATAGACTCAAGATGGATGAAAGTCCTAAATGTGAGACAGGAATCCATCAAAATCCTAGAGGAGAACACAGGCAGCAACTTCTTCAATCTTGGCTGCAGTAACTTCTTGCTAGACATGTCTCCAAAGGCAAGGGAAATAAAGGCAAAAATTAACTATTGGGACTTCATCAACATAAAAAGCTTTTGCACAGCAAAGGAAACAGTCAAAAAAAGCAAAAGACAACCAATAGAATGGGAGAAGATATTTGCATATCAGATAAAGGTCTAGTATCCAAGATCTATAAAGAACTTATCAAACTCAACACCCAAAGAACAAATAATCCAGTCAAGAAATGGGCAGAAGACATGAATAGAGATTTCTCCAAAGAAGACATCCAAATGGCCAACAGACACAAAAAATGCTGATCACTCGGCATCAGGGAAATACAAATCAAAACTACAATGAGGGACCACCTCACACCAGTCAGAATGGCTACAATTAACAAGACAGGAAACAACAAATGTTGGTGAGGATGCAGAGAAAACGGAACCCTCTTACACTGTTGGTGAGAATGCAAGATTGTGCAGCCACTCTGGAAAATAGTATGGAGGTTCCTCAAAAAGTTAAAAGTAGAGGTACCCTATAACCCAGCAACTGCACTACTATGTATTTACCCAAAGGATAGAAACGTGATCTGAAGGAACACCTGTACCCCAATATTTATAGCAGCAATGTCCACATTAGCCAAACTATGGAAAGAGCCCAGATGTCCATCAAGAGATGAATGGATAAAGAAAAGGATGAAATCTTACCATCTGCAACAACGTAGATGGAATTGGAGGGTATTATGCTAAGTGAAAGACAATTATCATATGGTTTCACTCATATGTGGAATTTAAGAAACAAAACAAAGGCTCATAGGGGAACGGAGGGAAAAATAAAATAAGATGAAATCATAAAGGGAGACAAACCCAAAGATACTCTTACTTATAGGAAACAAACTGAGGGTTGTTGGAGGGGAGGTGGGTAGAGGAATGGAGTAAGTGCGTGATGGGCATGAAGGAGGGCACCTGATGTAATGAGCACCAGGTGTAATATGCAAGGGATGAATAACTGAACTCTATATTTGAAACTAATAATACACTATATGTTAATTAATTGAATTTAAATAAAATAAATAATAATAATCACGCAGAGAGAAACACATCAGTATTTTCGTTCATGTCTTTTCAATTATTTTGTTTTCTATGTTTATATTTTAAAAGCTTTTAAGATCAACATAAGGCCTGGGGCGCCTGGGTGGCTCAGTCGGTTAGGCGACTGCCTTCGGCTCAGGTCAGGGTCCCGGAGTCCCGGGATCGAGTCCCGCATCGGGCTCCCTGCTCGGCAGGGAGTCTGCTTCTCCCTCTGACCCTCTTCCCTCTCATGCTCTCTGTCTCTCATTCTGTCTCAAATAAATAAATAAAATCTTTAAAAAAAAAAAAGATCAACATAAGGCCTGAGTAGAACCTGCCTTCAAAACTTAAGTGTTGGGGAGAAGTATATCTTCAGGACGAAATGCAGCATTGACTCCTGATTGGAAGATCTGCTGTAAGTCCAATAGGGAGAAAGTATAAAGGATAAAAGTTCACTTTTTGTTTGAATTGGCAACTGGGAACAATTGCATTCCATACCATTTTACAGCCAAAAATTTTACTTATTTAATAAGTGAGTGCCTACTATGTTCTATATATTGTGCAAGGTGCCAGGGATATAGAATCATGCATAAGAACTTTCTCTCTGACTTCATGGGTATTATACTATATTCCAAGCCAATAGATCAAGGGGATAAGTAAGAATATAGAGAATCCGTATAATATATGGGTAATATTAACAAAAAAGCATACATTTATAAGCAAATATATTTCAAACTCTATGCCTCCATATAGGGAATGTACTCTTTTGAAGGGCCATGGAACACTTGTAAAATACTGTTGATCTATTAGAGTATAAAGAAACCTTAAATGAATTCCAAAGAGCCAAAACAGTTCAGACTATATTCACTATGCTAACACTGGGGCTGTTGAGCCTGGGGTCTGTCCAGGTGATGAAGATGATGAATCATGTTCAGCAATGAAAAATTTCAGAAATTTTCTCTTCTGAAATTTTCTCCTCTTCTGTCAGAGGAGATTTCTGAAAATTGTGTTTATTTTCTTCCCTTGAGGGAGAAAAAGAGCACAGGGGCTGGTCAGCTTGTATATAGGATTTTGCTTACCAATATTGTTTATCATCATTGTGCACTTTAAATATCTTACAATTTTTGTCAATTATACCTCATTAAAGCTGAAAAAAGTCTGTCAAATCCAATTGAATAAAAGAGAATATTGTTTGCTGGGGTTTTGCTTTTGTTTTTGTTTTACTTCAAGGAAAGAAGTAAATTCTTACTGAATATTTTAAATTTAGAATGTGTTTTTTTGATAAATAAATTGTAGATAACATTCTTCTGATCATCAGGGTCACCAGGAGTGTTGTGCCATTTGTATATGGCACAAAGGCCCCCGAAGGAAAGAGTGAATACTGAAATCCAGGCTGTGCAATCTAGCCTGTGCTCAACTTATCAAACTGTGCACCCTAGTGAGGTGTGAGTTCAGGGGAAGTGCGGTGCCTTTTTTTCTAATTCTTCCTTGAGAGAGAGTGACTTTTTCTAATTAGCCCAAAGGTACCATATGTGCTAGGGAAGCACTGCTGATCAAGAAGATCCGGCCATGAGAATATTTAAATTTCAGCACTTAAATTTTTTGTCTTATAAGATTGGTGAAATTTTTGAATGAATAATAATAAATAGGCCTGTGTTCCTCTGAGTGGATTTTAGGAATAAAAATGCAACAGGCATTTCTTATAATTCAGTGGTACTCAAAGCGTGGCGCACAGACCACCACCACCAGCAGCATTACCTGAGAACTTGATAAAAATGCAAATTGTTGGCCTTCACCCCAACTACTGAATCATTAACTCTGGGGATGGGGCCCAGAAACCAGTGTTTTAACAAGCCCTCCATGTGATTCTGATGCATATAAAACATTGAAAACTACTGGTTTAATACAGGGGTGGACAAATTATGGCCCCCGAGCCAAATATAGTCCACTGCCTATTTTTATAAAGTTTAATTGGAACACAGCCACACCCATTTACTTATGTATTTCCCACTACACTAAGTAGAGCTTAGTAGTTGCCACAGAGACCATATAGCCTATAAATTGGGTTGTAGGTTTAGCAACTAACAATATAAGATGCTTCATTATAAATGTGTTTTTCAGATAAACAATGAATAATTTTTTTATTATAAATATATTCCATGCAGTATTAGTAATCCAACACACAAAGCCTAAAATATTTACTATCTGCCCCTTTACAAAAGACGTTTGCTGACTCCTGCTTAATGTAATGACTTTAGAGTGGACTTGCCTCTGATAAACAAGGGTGTGGAACAGATGCAATGAAAAAGCCTTAGTCCTGAGTACACACCTGGGATTCTGGTGCATCCAGTCTCAAGCACTTCCTTCCCAAGAAGAAGGCTAAAACTAGGAAACCAATTTGCCTGGATGGAAGGGCAGCTGGTGCCACTTCTTTTTCTGTTTATTAAACTCACTATTATCAGTTGCTTTCCCTTTTTTAAGTGCCTGGTGTTACACGTTTCAGTTAAGATAAAGCAGATGTACTTCAATAATAAAAAATTTTTAAAAAGATCAAGCAGATATTTTAGTATTGTCCAAGTAACTCAGAAGAAGTTCTGTGACAAAAATAAAACTAGACATGATTACAGTAATCCCACCTGCTTGAAAATTGGGGGAAAAAAGCCCTCTGAAAACAATCCTTAGATCAAACAGGCAATCAAAACAGTAATTACAGACTATCTAAAAAAAATACTGATAATAAAAGTAACATATATCAATAAATACCATACACAGATATTTGTTAGAGTAACAGCTGGTAGCCTGAAATAGTTTTATCACTTAACAAAAAGGATTAAAGATAAATGAAAGAAAATGAAATAAAATTGCTGAAGGGGTCAGAAGCAGATAAACAAAGTGAACCTAAGGAAGACCAGAGAGGGAAAATATGTAGTGGAGGAAGAGATAAGTTTCTAGGTAAATTTCAATCACTAATAAGTGTTCTTTAAATTCATTAAAGAAATTCATTA